GCTCACTGCAACCTCCACCTCCCGGGTTCGAGCAATTCTGCTGCCTCAGCCTCCCAAGTAGCTGGGATTACAGGCACCTACCACCACACCTTGCTAATTTTTGTATTATTAGTAGAGATGGGGTTTTTACCACGCTGGCCAGGCTGGTCTTGAACTCTTGACGTCAGGTAATCTGCCCACCTCGGTCTCCCAAAGTGCTAGGATTGTAGGTGTGAGCCACTGCACCTAGCAGAGATGTGCCTAGTTTCTAAAGTCACTCCCCTGCGACTAGGTAACTGAAAACAACAATTTGACTACTGCCCACTCCTCTAGAGCCCCATTTAAAAGGCAATGCTCGATAGCAGCCAGTGCTAATCGGTGATGGAAATAAAATGGGTTACTCCCTCGACTTCCACAGCACTTACTGTCTGATTTAGGTTTCCACATGGATTCAGCTGGGCACAAATAAGACTTGCCTCTAAGCTGTTCTCTACAGTCTGAGAAAGATTTCAAGAGTGGTGCAGGTGTTAAACTCCAATCATACTGTGTATTTTTACTAGTGATTTCAAGAATTGGAGATCTTTTAGATACAATTAGGGTAGAGTCTGAAGGCCATCTACAGTAATGAAAGCAAAACCAATTAGTAGGTAGTTTAACTCATTTAGAGGCTATCTGCAGGCTAGCAGTTTTCCTCTGCTAAATCCTGTTAAGATGCAATGGGTTCTATTTTGTGCAGAAGGAGCAGGCTGCCATGACAACTGTCTGTGAATATTATTTCAATATTAGTCATACATTTCCAGTGTCTGCCTCTGGGCTCAGTGTTCTAAAGCCTGAATACACAATTATTCTTAATTGACCTCTCCTGGACATGTTTACAAAAAGAACAAAAACGAAACACTTTCAACTGCTGACTTTTTTTTTTCTTTCGGAAATTTAAATGAATTCACACAATTGCAAATTGATTGTGGATCTTGTCATTTTTTCTTTTAGAAAGGTGATTTCGATGTGAACTTATATTGTGCCGGACTATAGATTTCATTGAATAGGCGTACTACACCAGGATTTGGAAAGTTCTGCAGGCGTGTAGTCCTTACAGAAAAATTATTATTTTTTTTTCATCTAACAGTATCAGAAAGAATGTTGTGGTTGCCCGTGGCAGAAGATCCAACCCAAACTGAGCTAGCAAAACCAGTTTCCAACGAATCTGCTTTGAAAATTCCAAAGGTAAGATTTGATCCAGAGACTTAGGATGGAGGGCTTGTGCTCATTTCCCTACCCTTCTCTTGGTCGGCCCTTCTCCACGTATCACTTTCACCCCCTGGACTGGCTCTTTTCATAGTGATGCCTTGCTCAGAGCACCACACTAGGGGGAGATGAGTGAGTCTGTCCCAGCACTCTCTCCAGGTACCCCAAGATTCCCTCATATTATCTTTCTTTAGCTGTGTGCCCACCCCAAACACTCCTTTTTGCCAGGAGAAGAAGATGTGCTGTCTTAGGCCTGAGTTATGTGCTTATTCCTGGAAAGTTGCTGTGGCTTGGGGAGCGGGCTCTGGTAATTGGCTTAAGTCAGCCGGGGCCCACACTTAGAGTCAGGGGCTGCATCAATCCAACACAAACCACATGGTAAAAACAGAGCAGGGTTGATTTCAAAAAGGAAAATTGTGCTTCTGTTACAAGGCAGTTAGGGAACTGTTTGCTAGCCACCTGGTTAGGGAACAGAATACTGGCCTAATAATAATAATAGCTAACATTTACTGAATACTCTGAGCCAGGCACCAAACTGCTTTACAGTTGCATTGCTTAGAGAATGTGTTTGGCTGCCTGGAGTAAGGTAAATGGAAGCAGGGGCTTAACACAGAGTGGTTGGTTTTCGTCCCACATGATACAAAGCCAGGAGATGCACAGTGTCACATTGTCATCCAGGTCTCAAGCTCGTCCCTCCATCCTCTTGCATCATTACTTTGGTATTCTCAATGTGAGGCTTTCTTCCTAGTGTGTACAAGATGGCTGCTCCTCCTCCAGGCATTGTATCCTGGTTCCAGGCAAATGGGGGGAAGGACAAAGAGAAGAGGCTTGTGCCAGCTGAGTCGTTTCTTTTTGTATCAGGAAAATAGCTTTTCTGGAAGCCTCAGCCTGTAGATTTCTGCTTATATCTCAAAGGCTAGAACTGTGTCACATGACTACCCTTAGCTGCAAGGGAGCCTAGCAAATCAAGTTTTGTTGGCTGAACACTGCCACCTAGAACAAAACTGGGGTTTTATTAGGAAAAGAGGGGAAATGGACAGTCATGATCAGTGGCTGCTACAATGTGTATTAACCCGTTCATTCATTACATCAACCCAGTGTGATCAGTGCTATCACTAGCCTGTTTTATAGTTGAAGCAACAGGCACAGAGAGGCTATGTAATTTACCCAGGCTCACACAGAGCTGTTAAGTGGTGGGGCAAGAACTTGAACCCAAGCAAGCTGACTAGAACCTAATTCTATTATGTTCCTAGACATATCCTGACCCACTGAGCAGACCACATTTCTTCTCTAGGATGTATACCCACTCAGGAAATGCACGCTTCTCCTAGAAATGGCAACTAATATTTGTTTAGCACTTTATAGTTTACAAAGAGATTGCTACTTAAATTATTCCCTTTAAATAGTATTCTCTCTTTTTTTTTTTTTTTTTGAGACGGAGTCTTACTCTGTTGCCCAGGCTGGAGTACAGTGGCATGATCTCAGCTCATTACAACCTCTGCCTCCCAGGTTCAAGCAATTCTTGTGCCTCAGCCTCTGGAGTAGCTGAGACTACAGGCGCACACCACCACACCCTGCTAATTTTTGTATTTTTAGGAGAGATGGGGTTTTACCATGTTGTCCAGGTCGGTCTTGAACTCCTGACCTCAAGTGATCAGCCTGCCTTGGCCTCCCAAAGAGCTGGGATTACAGGTGTGAGCCACTGCACCAGCCCTATTCTCATTTTTTAAATGAGGAAACTCATTTAAGAGGAGTTATGTAAGTTGCCTAAGTTCCTCAGGTTGAAAGTGGCAGAGCTGATATTCCCTCAAAATTATAAAACTTACCCCTGTTTGCCTTTCTTAATCTTCCTACTCTTCTCTGCACAGAGGAGTTCATTTCTAGTTTTTTAAAATGACAATATTTGACTCTAGGCGCTGTATTAACTTCATAACCTTCTCAGGAAGACCATTTCTCTATGTAAAAGAGAAATCTTTGCTCTCTCACCTGCATGTTTTCACATAGCCCGCCAGCAGGAATGTGGTACATCAGTGGGAACTATGACAGAAGGAACGGAGACCTGGAAAGGGAGGTGGTTTTTCTCTCACATCATATAAAACCCAGAGCTCTGTCAGAAAATGAAAGTGTTAGTTATAGATAGTTCTTATTGACCTGTTAAAGAGTCATTAAACATATAGACATTTGTTGTCATTAGTTACATCAGATTACTTTGTTACTTTTCTTTAAAACGATTTCATAAATTGAACTTGTCACTGACTAAGAATGACAGCCCACTGCACTGGGATAAATTAGAAGTTTCACTACGTTACTGACACCTCAGTTTGCTTATGACTATTATTTCCCTCATTCTTTTCAAGTCTTTGAAATCTTTAGCTTTTGGCATTGTTTTATTTACATATCACAACATTCTTCTGTTTTGGTGTTACTACTGAGTAAACCATAAAAATTGCAAGAACATTGAAGAATTAAAACATTTTAGGGAGGCATGAGACCACAATCAAATACATTTGAGAAATACCTTGGTTCACTGGGCACGGTGGCTCACGCCTGTAATCCCAGCACTTTGGGAGGCCAAGGCAGGCAGATCACCTGAGGTCAGGAGTTCGAGACCAGCTTGACCAATATGGAGAAACCCTGTCTCTACTAAAAAAAACACAAAATTAGCCAGTTATGGTGGCACATTTCTATAATCCCAGCTACTTGGGAGGCTGAAGCAGGAGAATCACTTGAACCAAGGAGGCAGAATTTTTGGTGAGCTGAGATTGAGCCATTGCATTCCAGCCTGGGCAACAAGAGCGAAACTCAGTCTCCAAAAAAAAGAAAGAAATATACTGGCTCAGTCCAGAAAGGCGGGACAACTTGAATCAAGTAGGAGGAGGAGGAGTGGCTTCTGGGTTATAGGTAGATTTTAAAATGTTCTAGTTGACAATTGGTTGAGTTTATCCAAAAACCTGGGATCAGTAGAAAGGAAATGTCTGGGTTAAGGGACTGTGGAGACCAAAGTTCTTATTGTGCGGATGAAGCCTTCAGGTAGCAGGCTTCAGAGAGAATAGACCGTAAATGTTTCTTTTCTTTCTTCTTTTTTTTTTTTTTAGATGGATTCTCGCTCTGTCACCCAGGCTGGAGTGCAGTGGCACAATCTCAGCTCACTGCAACCTCTGCCTCCCGGGTTCAAGCAATTTTCCTGCCTCAGCCTCCTGAGTAGCTGGGATTACAGGTGCCTGCCACCACACCCGGCTAATTTTTGTATTTTTAGTAGAGACGAGGTTACGCCATATTGGTCGGGCTGGTCTTGAATTCCTCACCTCATAATCTGTTCGCCTTGGCCTCCCAAAGCGCTGGGATTACAGGCGAGAGCCACCACCCCCAGCCCTGAAAATGTTTCTTATCAGACCTAGGGTCTGTGTTGCTATTAATGCTGGGGAGGTAGAATGAGGCACGTCCAACTCCTGTTTCTCATCATGGCCTGAACCCGTCTTTTAGGTTAAAATTTAAAGTGCCGTGGCCTAGGAAGAAGTCCATTCCAATGGTTGGGGGGCCTTAAAATGAATAAGACCAAGTGTGGTGGCTTGCGCCTATAATTCTAGCGCTTTGGGAGCCCAATAATTTGAGACCAGCCTGGAGAAGATGGTGAAACACCATCTCCATAGAAAATAAAAAATTAGCTGAGTGTGGTGGTGGATACCTGTAGTCCCAGCTACTTGGTAGGCTGAGCAAGGAGGATTACTTTAGCCCTGGAGGTGGAGGCTGCAGTGAGCTATGATCATGCCACTGTGCTCCAGCTTGGGCACGATCATAGCTCACTCTTTATAGAGTGAGACCCTGTCTCAAACAAATAAAAAATAAAAAACAGTACTGTGTTACAGAGCAGTGCCACTCAAAGTATGCTTCATGTTCATCTAGGAGCTTATTAGAAATGAAGCTTCACAGCCTCACCCCAGACCTACTGAATCAGAACCTCTAGGAATTGGGCCCAGGAATCTGGGTTTTGACGAGATCGCTAGGTGACTTGTAAGTACATTCAAGTTTGAGAAGTGCTGTTTTAGAGTTTTACGCGAGTTGTAAGACTGACAGATTGTGCACTCTTTGAATGTTGGTGAAAATAAGAGCTTCGGCTTTAGTAAATTAAGCCTATATTGAACTCTGGATTCTCCTTTGAAAGTCCCCAAATCCTAGCCTCCAGTTAGCTACTCCAGGTCACAAGCCTTAGCTCAAGTGTACATTTGACTCCATCCTTTATCAACACCTTCACCTGATTAATCCATGTTCAACCTTCTGCTGTCAGGTCAAAGATGACTTCCTCAGAGAAGCCTTTGCTCGACCTCCCAACTCCCTCCCATAAAATGAATACTTGTCCTTTGCAATTTCACATTTATTTTTTATGATTTAATTAATAGTTACGTCTCCTACTAGGCTATAAGCTTTAGGAGGGAAGAGACCTTATCAGTTTTGCTAATTGGCATATCCCCAGGGTGCAGAACAGTACCTCACACATAATAGATGCTCAACAAATATTTACTTAATGAATATATGAATGAAACCATGCCAGGAATAAGTGCACAAAAGAAAATGTTCTAAAAGTTTTTTCTGGAGGCTTCTCTGTAAACTCTTAGTCATCTGAGGCAGTAATAGTGAGGGTTTTGAAAATAAAGCTCTGGATATTTTCTAGGCCTTGTTTTTTCTTTTTCTTTTCTTTTTTTTGGGGGGGGGAGGGGGGACGGTGTCTTACTCTGTTGCCCAGGCTGGAGTGCAGTGGCACGATCTCAGCTCACTGCAACCTCCGTCTCCCAGGTTCAAGTGATTCTCCAGCCTCAGCCTCCCGAGTAGCTGGGATTACAGGTGCCCACCACCATGCCTGGCTAATTTTTGTATTTTTAGTAGAGACCGGGTTTCACTACGTTGGCCAGGCTGGTCTCGAACTCCTGACCTCAGGTGATCCACCTGCCTTGACCTCCCAAAGTACTGGGATTATAGGCATGAGCCACCGCACCTGGCCCAGGCCTTGTTTTATCAACATTCCTCCAAGAAACAAACCTTTCTTTGTTTACTGTGTTCATGAACACAAAAATGGTTGACAGGGAGGCAATGGTGGCAAAAAACTGGAATGTGCCTTTCAATAAGCAAGAAATAGTCCTCTCATCGAGGTCATCTTGTCCACATTCCATTGGCAGGTGTTGTCATATCTGCATCATCCATTGTGGGGTCACCAAGGCAACCTATTAATCATTCTAGAATCTACCTGTTGAAGACTCCAGATGAGACTGAGCAACCATCTTCAGTAAGACCTGTGTGATGAAGGTTGTGTTGTGAGCCTGCCGGTCGGGCTGAAAGAGTCAGCAACCAACAAATGAAGATCCGGGAGTCTGCCTCTCTCAAACCTGTGTGGATCTAATCTAACCTCGTGGGAAAGGTAAGAGCACTTAGTGGACCAGATGGATTGAATGTGATCTGGGTAGGCATGGGACAGTGATCGAAAGTTAACCTGTTGCCTCTGTCTGTTTAGTTGTTTAGCCCAACTCTTGTGGTCTTCATGTTTTATGTACGAAGTTTGTTATGCTTTAATAGGTATGTATAGGGTGGAATTGGGTCGCCTTAATATACTGGAAAAAGTATATCAAAGTACTGAGTCATAGGACTGTGACTTTGGGGAGGCCACCTAACTTCTCTGGGCCTGGTTTCTCTCCTATAAAATGAAGATGTCTGAGGGACTTTCTGGACAAGTCCAAAGGATCAGAGTATCTTACCACAGTTCAGGCTCACCGGTTCCAGAGCTCTGGGCAGAGAAACTCATGATGGTCTTGCAGTGTGACTGCATTCTCTGCCTAGATCAGTTTTGCCCAATTCCCAGTGCTTTGACATGAGAGGTAGTTGCATAAATGTGTATTCTTTGTTTTACTTTTGTTCTTGGAATGGCAGATCATAACTCCTGCAGAAGGAAAAGAAGAAAAAATAAGGAATTACCATTGTTTTACATTGACTCATGCTAGATGTCAGTCTGAGATACATGCAAAACACAAGCACATACAAGATAAAGGAACAGATTGTGGCAATATTTAAAAATATCCTAGCTTTCTAAATTAGAAGCAGTTCTGATAAGCCTATCTGGAATTCATGTAAAACATCCATAACTCTGACAGTCTGAACTGTACATGGCCAAGGCAAATTGCTTCTAGGCAGTAATTGTAGGTGCAGGTCTAAGTAGACTATACAGTAGTCTCCATTGCTTTACAGATAGCCCTCAGTTCTTGGCCTCTTACTTTCCAGGTTGCTTCTTTGTTAGCCTCCTTGTTGACTCCTTCCTCTTTTCATTCTCTTTAATGTCTCTATTCCCCAGTGTTCTGCTTTTGCCTCTAGAGCCTTACTCTGCAAGCTCTCCCTGGCTATTTTATCTTCTGTAATCATTTCAGCTATTGTCAGCAACCTGATGACCTCTTTAATCTGACTCTCCAGTCCCGATTTATTTCCTGAGCTCCAAACCCAGGCTGTTACTGCCTATGGGATATTTCAACAGTGAGGTCTCCCAAGTACTCAAATTTAGCACACTGCTAACTGAACTTACGATTTTTCTCCACCATAAACTCACTTGTCCCACTTCATGTCTGACTCTTGTACCCTTTAATACCCTATTGCAATGAATAGCATCATCTTCTAGACTGTAAATTACAAGAAGGCAGAGACCATATCTATCTTGTCCACCCTTGTAACCACAGTACCTAGCATAGTGCCTGGCTCATGGTAGACACCCAGTCAATATTGTTGAATAAATGATGAACCCATTTATTCTTCCAAACCAAAAACTTTGGAATCCTCCTTGATGTCTCCGTCTCTCTCACTCTCCACGCGCAGTCTGGGACCTGTAGGGTTTGTTACATAAACCTTTTACATTTGGCTCTTCCCTACCCTTCATCCCTGTTGCCGTGACTTTAATTCGGCCCTTACCATGTATCACCTGGATTATTGCAGGAGCCTCGTCATTGGTCTTTCTGTTACCTGCTTTTCCCCATTCATCACCATCTGATCCCTAGAGTGATCTTCTTGCAGCTTGAATCTAATCAGCTTACCCTCAGGCTCCCCTTGACTTAAACAAGAGTTTGCAATCTGGCAGCTTTAGGCAGAATCCACGCAGTTGATACGGCGTTTTGATAAAATGAGAATGACTGTATTTTGTTGATTCTAAGATGCGTGTTTTTTTTTCACATTTTTGTAGCTCTGATATTGGGATGTGTCTTGAAATGGACAGAGTGTCAGAGTTTGATCAGTGGTGGTGTTCTCTCTTATTGGTACATAAAACAGCAATGCACCCTGTAATCAGTGACTTCTTAAATTTACTAAAAAATACTCATGCTAACATTTAAAAATAAGGAGATCAGACATAGAACTATCTTCAGCTTCTCTTGGAAAATTGCATCAGGCAACACTGGGCTGCAATTTCGGGATAGCAGCCAAGGATGGAGCTGCCAGTAAGTAGCAGCTACCTCATTTAGACAAAAACTTGCTATAGTGTCTCATGGTTTCCACCCAGGCTGCTTTAGTCATTTGTATTATCTGCTCCAGCCCATTAAGCATTTGAAAGGACAATCCCTGACTGATAGATTGAAGTCCAGATTCTTTGCTGTAATTTATAAGAACACACAGTTGGCACCAGCCTACCTCCCCCAGGTTAATGTTCCCAACCTTCGCTCTGTACTCCCTCGATCCCCCAATCTCAAGTATAACAAGCTCCCATATTCCCTGGAATGCCTTTCTGCATATTTTATGCCGTATGAAACATTTCCTGGCATTCCCAGGTCGAGCTCATTTCTTTCTGGACTCCAGTAGTACATGGGCATATCTCTGCAAAAACCGCAGTTGCTTTTGCACCAACCTAAAGTATAGTTCTGTGAATTTTTTGGGGGGGGGTGGGGACAGAGTCTTGTTCTGTTACCCAGGCTGGAGTGCAATGGCACAACCTTAGGTCACTGCAACATCCATCTCCCGGGTTCAAGGGATTCTCCTGCCTCAGCATCCTGAGTAGCTGGGATTACAGGCGCCTGCCACCACGCCTGCCTAATTTTTTGTATTTTTAGTAGAGATGGGGTTTCACATTTTGGTCAGGCTGGTCTCGGACTCCTGACCTCAGGTGATCCACCTGCCTTGGCCTCCCAAAGTACTTACAAAGAGATTACAGGCATGAGCCACTGTGCCCAGCCAGTTCTGTGAATTTTAACACATGGATAGATTAGCATAACCACCAGCATCATCAGGATATAGAACCTGCCCCTCAAAACTCCCTTTTGCTAACCCTTTGTAGTCACTCCCCTCCCTCACCCATAAAACCCCTGGTGACCACTGATCAGTTCTCTGTCACTATAGTTTTGTCTTTTTGAGAATGCCATATAACTGTCTGTATCCCTTTCAGCCTGGCTTCTTCCACTCAGTAATGCCTTTGAGACCCGTCCAGGTTGTGTGTATTAGCTTCATTCATTTTTATTCCTAAGCAGCGTTTCATTGTGTGGTTGTCCCACAGTTTGTATATCCATTCACTCATTGAAGGACATTTAAGCTGTTTTCAGTGTTTGACCTTATGAACCTGTATACACGTTTTTGCATGAATAGAAAATTTTATTTTTCTAGAATAACTACCCAGGAGCAGGATTGCTGTCATATGGTAGGTACATGTTCAACTTTATAAGAAACTACCAAATTCTTGTTCAGAGTGGCTGTGCCACTTTGCATTCCTGTCAGCACAATGTTAGAGTTCGAGCTGCTCCACATTCTAGCTAGCACTGGATATTGTTTTGAAAAAAATTTAGCTGGGCATGGTGGCTCATGCCTATAATACGAATACTTTGGGAGGCTGAAGCAGGAGGATAGCTAGAGACCAGAGGCAGATAGCTAGAGACCAGTCTGGGCAACATGGCAAAACCCTGTTCCCTACAAAAAATACAGAAATTAGCTGGGCATGGTGGCACATGCCTGTAATCCCAATTACTTGGGAGGCTGAGGTGGGAGGATCACTTGAGCCCAGGAAGTCGAAGTTGCAGTGAGCTGTGATTGTGTCACTATGTTCCAGCCTGGTGACAGAGTGAGATACTGTCTGAACGCCCCCACCCAAATTTAGCCATATTCATAGACATATAGTGGTATCTCATGGTGATTTTAATTTTAATTTCTGCTTCCTTGAATCTGGTCTGGAGGAACTGCTGTACATAAAAAGTAAATTCACTGCCAGTTCAGTGGTACTTCAAACTTTGATTTGTTTCCTTCATCTGTCTTCTGTTATCTGCTTTTCAGAGTCTTCATGTTACTTGTTTATTACAGTGGAACAGATTACCAAAAAAAACCTAGTGGCTTGAAACAACACATGTTTATGATCTTACAGTTTCTGTGGGGCAGAAACCCTTAGAGGGCTTTACTTGGCCCTCTACTTCAGCATCTGTTGTGAGCTGCTGCACACAATGTGTTGACTGGGCTGCTGTAATCTGAAGGCTTGATTGGGGAGGGGTCTACTTCCAAGCCCATATGGTCGTTGGCAAGAGTCAGTTCCTCATGGTCTGTTTGATGGAGGGCCTTAGTTCCTTGCTGGCTTTTGGCCAGAGACTTCCCCTAGTCCTTTGCCACATGGCAGCTTACTTCATTGAAAGCATGCAAGCTGTGAAGCCAATAGGGTCTATTAGTAAGACAGAAAGTCATAATCTTTTATAACCTAGTCATAGAAGTGACATCCCAATACTGTTGTCATATTTAATTGATTAGAAGCAAGTTGCTGGAACCAGCCTATGCTGAAGAGGAGGGATGACACAAGGGTGTGAATTTACCAGGAGGAAGGGATTACTGGGGACAGCTTAGAGTCTGTCATAGTCCTCAAATAGCTGCTCCATGGATTCTGCCCAGGTTTTACAGCTTTGTCCCATGGGAGAGAAAGAGTAGAGTGAGTAGAATGTCCTTTTTCCATCTTACCCAGACCAGAACCTTCTGTGAAGCTTTTTGATTTGGTTTATGAACATTCAAGGTTAATTTAAGGAATTTCTTTAAACTCAAGCCATTGAGGACCAAATTAGGGTTAGATTAAGCAGTGGTCTGAATTAAAATTCTGATATCTATTAATCTATTTATTAAATCATGACCAAGGAAAGCTAGATGGAGTCTTTTGAAAGCTGAACTTCCATGCCTTAAAACATGACAGGTATTTCAGCCTGTCATTGTGGCTGCTCACCAGGTGATCCCAACAGACACATCTGGCAAGCACTGACCTTTATAAATTTCTTCCATCTGATGGTGACTCCTGACCCACTTTTAATTTCTTTTAATGACTTCCTAATGACTTGTCAGATCTGGACTCTCTTTTCTCCTACTTAATGTGATTTTTCAGTACTGAGAACTCACCCTTGAAAATATACTTGATCCTTTCTCTATTAAAGTGAAAAATTA